TTTACCCCCAAGCCCGCAAAACCAACATTTAGGATCGTCACGCCCTGGTGAAAAACGATCAGCGCTTGAGGTGGAAGCCATACTTGTAAGACATGACATATATATTTGTTTTATGGAAATTATAGGGCGTGCTACCCTGACGCAGTTTCAGGTCAGCTCAATGCCAAAGACGCATAGAAAATACACACGTTTAACCGGAATAGCATCTTCTTTGCAAAGTACCGAGGTATACTTTTGGAAAGTTGTAACCTTTTTCCAAACAAACAAAATTTATAAAGCCCCCACCCACACACACACACACACACACACACACACACACACACACACACACACACACACACACACAAATTACACTACCTTAATAATGAATAAGCAGATTTTAAAAAATATATAAAAAACGCTTGGTTTCTAAAGAAAAAAGAAGAAAGTCGAACACGTTAGCAGTGACCTTGACACTTCTGCTCCCACTCTCTCCGCCTACCTCCATTATCCACCCATCCCGTCTCCAGATCTTACAAAAAAGATTCTATAGGTCTCTTTGCCGGGAAGTTTTTGAAAATAGTTCTCAAGAATGTGAGGCGTTTTTTAAGGCGGAGCAATGCCGACTTCTTTGGGGAGGCACATACCACGGTTGCTTTTCGTACAGCAAGACGTCATTAACTCTTCGGGGTTTCGTTTTAAATAGAGTTTTACGGCACTTGCAACACAAATAAGTCATAATATAAGTGCAGAAAATTGGAGGTGTTACTTGAGAGAAAAAAATATATACATAAAGAAGGAGAGGAAATAAGGAAAATTACATGTGTGACAGGAAAGAAGGAGCAAACCACCATGGAGCACCTGCAAACCACCCACGAAGATGATGTCTATCAAAGTTGAGTTTAGGAGGAAGACCTCTGGTTACTTCTGTCAGCAACGGGAACAGAAAGGGGAGAAATGTCTGAAAGTGCAACGGTACTATGTGTATAAGGAAACAGGCTGATTAAGAGGGACTGTCGGCCATATTCCTAATTTATATCTAAAAAACGCTATCACCATTTACAAGTCAAATTTTCTAAAAGAGACTAAAATTGTTTAATTTGACTTAAATAAAAGAAACTAACATAGGAATTTTTGTGCATCAGAATAAATATTCTTTCCTATGTATTTTATGTTAGGAAATAATAGTATACGACAAACGGCCTGTAAGACAAGAATGCCTCATTCTGATGTGATGTCAAAGTTCTAAAAACTTCCAATATGGTCATCGATAACTTGAATGCCATTGTCAAATTCAGAAATCAACCATAGAAATGTACATACATGTTCGTGGTTTTAGCTTATTCATTATAACACCAAAAAAAAAAAAAACCACTTCTAGATTAAGTAAAGTCGTTGTTTCACGCCAAAATCGATATCAACTATATAAATATGTGATTTCAGATTGTTCAAGACAAAGGAAACAATAAAGGTATACTTTCACGCTCGTCTTGTTTTAAAATAGTGCAAGCAATGGTTTTTTAATTTGTTTCAATGAAATCTTATGAGGTGCCTACTGTTGCTATCAACCGTAATATTATTATGTTTAGTTATTATTATGTAGTTTCGGCCTCATGAAGATAGAACCAAAAAAAAAAGCACTATCTGTTGCTATCCTAAAATACGTTCTTTTACTCTCAGGTGAGTCAGAGACGACTCATGCAAACACAAGAAACTAACGGGATCCGCATTTGCCGGTTGAGAGGGACGGAGAGAGAGAGAGAGAGAGAGAGAGAGAGAGAGAGAGAGA